GCCATAATATAAACAATCAACATCCGAAATAATGATCATATAAACAACAAAAGCAGCTATAATAACAACTGCAATAATGATGATGATTACAAAGCAACACACTTATCTAAATAATAATAATAACGACAATAATAATATAAATATAAACGATTAATCCAAAAGGGAATTTCGGCTGAACGAAGGCACCATCACGCTATTCAAAGGTGGCCATCTAAGGCCTTATAACTTGGCCCTGAAATGCACCTCAACGAAGTGGAGCAAGGATATAAATTTAACCTTTCATACCCTAACATCATTATGAATATTCTCCATGCTGTTCTCTATACAATTGTGCTGATAAGGAAGAATTATTTAAACCATGAAGACCTTTTTCGGTTGGTGATCATTTACTTTATTCATGTGACCCTAATGTTCGACTCAGGGATGATAATGTGAGGAAAAATTACATCATAGTCACTCTTAGGTGTTACAGGGTTAAGTGCCCAAACGAGATCCATGTTGACACGTTACCATGAAAGCAAAGATGAAAATAGGATACCACAAGAGGAACATAAAGATTTTTTTCAGGAACCGGTCTGGTCTTTCTATTATGGAGGCACCGTTAAGTTCATTCTTAAAAAAATGAGTATCTGTAGTGCTACAAAATAGAAAAGAATACCAGCGCCTACAGGAGGGAGGTTATTTAAGGGAAGAGGGTAAAAAGGCGATGTAATTATGTTGCATCTTCAAAGAATCTATCATGAAGCAGGAAGTATATGAATTAAATTTTTTGTTCGCAAATACTTTTCTATAAATCAAAAGCACACCTCAAATCTTGGTGTCTCTGGTGTAAAGGGAGACTTGAACTTGGCACTGTGAATATTCCTACGATTTCCACTTTTGCATATGTTGCAGGAATTAGGTCCCATGTAAGTTAAGAGACAGCCATCGACAGCAATTCCCGGCGAATCATACCACGCCTTTAAATGACAATCGAACAAAACTTCAGTAACACGAGGGACCCCTTCAGGCGGCTGGTATGTCACCTGAAAATGTCTGCGGCTGAGACA